GAAGAAAGAAAGAAAGAAAGAAAGAAAGAAAGAAAGAAAGAAAGAAAGAAAGAAAGAAAGAAAGAAAGAAAGAAAGAAAGAAAGAAAGAAAGAAGCTGGGGGCTGGAATCCCCATCACAAAATGCCCTAAAACCAAGAAAAAGCCAGAAGAAAGATCCCTAGAGCTTTCAAAAGGAGACTGTCTCAAAATAAAAAAGTGAAACCAGGGGCTGGAGAGACGGCTCAGCCTTGCAGAGCACTGGTTGCTCTTGCAGAGGACTGAGTTTGATTCCATGCACCTACTTGACCGCTCTCAACTGTCTCGAACTCTGACACCCTCTTTGGGCCTCCACACACCATGAAGCACGCAAGCAGTGCCCAGACATGCATGTAGGCAAAACGCCCACACACAGAAAACAGTAAGTGAAGCTTTTTTTTTTTTTTTTTTTTTTTTTTTGAAAGTAAAGACAGGGCGAGGGATACAGCTTAGTGGTAGAATGCTTTCCCAGTGAGCACAAAGCCATTGGCTCAATCCTCATAAAAATAACTAATACATTTATAAGGGATGAATGTTTAAGATTATTGCACAGCATACATGGGGCATGAAAGAAAGGAGGAGGGGCAGAGGGAGCAATGGGAATATCAGGGATGACACGTGTTTGAAAATGCCATAATGAAACCCATTACTTTGTACACTAAATTAAAATAGTCACTGTAAAAGGTAGAAAGTTAATGTCACAGAACTATTTAACACTGGACACAGAATTTTTAGCCACAAACATAGCTCCACCTTTTGAATCATAGAGCAATTTCACCTTGGACAGATTCCAGCACACGAGCAAAGAATTTCCATTCATCTTCAACTTCTCTTTGGTATGTGCCATAGAAGAGACTAAATAGCTTTTCCCTAAATAGTCATATATTTTCTCATCCTTTTAAAATAACTGTTATCAAGAATATGTAAGTATTTTGACTCAGACTTTTAAAATACAATGACGAATGGAGGCAGTGAAATCCATCCAATGACTCACAATTCACACCCAACTTGGGAAGGACAGGGAAGCGCTCTTTAATGAGAAGTTGCCATTATTTAGGCAGTCTATTGGGACTTCACAAACACAAAATTATAGCTTTACAAAACACCGCTTACACTAACTGAATTACATGTGTATTCAAGTATTACATGTGAATACTCTAATTTTACTTAAACTCCCAAATTGTTTTTAAAGAAGCAGCAGCTCATTTGTAATTTGACAAATAAGACAAAATTAACTTCTAAAAACAATCATTAAATGTTCATAAGTAGTTACGTAACATTTTACACTAACTTTAAAGAAAAACTTTGAGTTAAAAATCATAAATAAAATGCATGAAATAGAAGCTATTCATTATATTGTAATGGCGAACACTAAATTTGGGTAGCAATATTTTTGAGACACAGTCTGGCCTCACACTATTGACTTTCCTGTGTCAGACCTGTGTGTATATGAATATATTTATTTATTGTAATATATTTATGTGGTGCCACATTGGTTTTCCTCCTCCATTCATCCTGCTTGGAATTTATTAAAGTAATCACAATCCTGATTTCTTAAGCACTGAATCAGCAACCAGAGGCAAATGTACAGCACAGTAAGATAGTCTTTATTATATTTGAACCAGAAACAGCAGATAGCAAGCTCATGAGGTATGATTTATTTTAAAATGAGGCTTCAACAACAATCATCAAAAATAAGCCTTAACTGCACAGATAGTTTGGTCACTATTATAATCTCCAGAGGTACAAGAGCCAGCAGCATAAAGTACATAAAGGTAATGACAAAGAATTTCTGATGTGCCGAAATCACAGATCACTGCATTAAACCCTCTCTTTGCATTCTTGTCATTACAGTTCTTCGGCAAAATGCCAACAATGCGAGTAGTACTCCTACAAGAATCTGTCATAATATTGTCACCATTAATACTGAGCTTTCCTTTACCCCCAAATTTAATGAATCGTGATTTCAGTCCTTACATGGATTGGGTGTCAGTGGTGACATGTAAAATTGATTTCATTTTCAAGGTTAAATGGCAGACTGACTTTGCATTGGGTGGCCAGCTGTGTATCCTAGGTTTTATCATTGATATTCTTAATAAATTTAACTATATTTCATAAGCCCTGAGATATTAGATAACCTGCTAATGATTGTTCACTTTTAATGTATATCCTATTCCACTCAGTCCTAACGCCACGTAAGCATTTTAAATTATGCACACATAGCTGTAACTAATGCAATGATAAAATTTATTACTTGTATAGCTAAGACTACTAATAAGGCCTTTAAGTAAGAGTTGCATATTTTATGTATTTTACTTGGTCAGAAGCAACCCTTAGAAAAACTGTATCTATAATTCTGTCACCAATTAGTGTGTTCCTTTTGCTTAGTTCTCCATGGAGGTCCAGACTCTTTCCTTTCTTTTTGGCCCTTCCTCAGAAATACCAGATTTCCAACTGAACAGCTACCAAAGAAACTTAACACCTGAACACCATGTGGAGAGCTGCCATGCCTGGCAGAGAGAGATGCAGAACAGTCATTCAGTAGATAATGAGTGGATTGTAAGGCAGTTGTCTGAGTCATATACTCTTGATTATGGACTTAACTAATTTTGCTTAACCAGGAAATCTGGTTATCATTTAATTCTACCTCAAGTATAAATGCAAGAAATTGACATTTAAAAACATGGATTTGCCAGTTCTCAGGAAAATGAAACAGGTTGGTTATAGCTGCTACCTATAACATTAGATGAGGGTGTGGGGGGTGTCAAAATTACTTTCCAAGAACTATTATATATAATTCAATGAAGGGGAGAAATTAAAATAAATAAGAAAAGTATTAGCTAATTCATATAATTTTCTCTGCACTGATCACATATTTATCCCTGTTATGTTTTCTAGTTTAAAGATAATGTCAATATCTGAATAGATTTTCCCATCTCTGTGGGTGCATAATGCTAGTGAAAGGCTTGTATAAATATAATATTCTATTTTTATGTCAGTCAATATTTGTGCATTGTTTTTTGGCTAACATTTGTGTCTTTAAATGAAGCTGTATAGAATATGAGATAACCTACCAAGTTCTTATTTATTAGACTTTTGCTTACAATATTCATTTTTTGTTGATAGCTTTGAAGCATATTGCACACTTGCCATCTAGCACATTAATAGGTAATTATTACTCTTTTTAGAAAGGATGCACTCAACAAACTTAGGTTAAATGGCTTTAACCAAAATGTTTAGTGGGTTACAGGACAATTGCAATCGCAAAAACATTAACGATGCAGTTCATGGTACGATTCTCCCATCTCACAGTACAGGTTCCTGAAAACATACAAGAAGAGCACTTTGATATATCAGCAAAACATCAAAATTACCAGGCACTAAATAATTAATACACACGCATGCACGCACGCACGCACGCATGCACACGCACACACACGCACACATGCACGCACAAACACACACACACTTATAGTTTTCAGTAATATAAGTAACATTTCTTCTAACATGTTATATCTTCACATTTCATACTGGTTTGAAATCCTACTTGTGAGTATATACAAAGCAATTGTATTGATACAGTGTTTTTCAGACTTTAAGCAGAGCTACGTAATGAGTCCAGACTGACTTTGCTGGAACTTTGATTGAGGGTAAATTCATTTATGGTCTCTCACCATCAGATGTAGTATCCCAAAAACATGAGCTGGCTGTGTGAAATCCATATGCACTCCTCTGGACCACAGCACAGGTCACTACAAAGAAAGTCAGAGAACAACACTTACTGAAACAGGCAAAGAATCAAGGTTGAAGTATTTGTATTAGAACTCTAAAAGCTGAAAAAAAGGTAACACAAAATAATTCAGCTAGTAGACTAAAATAGTCTCTCATTTTGAACATCGACCATTGTGAACTTTACGTCACAAGACTCAGCCATTTCACGAACCATTATATAACTCTCAGCAATTGTACTGCAGAAAAATTTTGGATCAAATTTTGTGCTCTGTGTTATTAACAGACTTCAGACAGAAATGCAGGGGATATTTCACTTTGTCCTTGGTGTGTGGCTCGTCACAGGCCTATACACAGGCATGGAGGGCTGACAGGAAGACAATACTGAAGGGTCCCATCAAGGGAAAGCAGTTCAAACTGCTTTTTTAGACCGAAAGACCTCCCTTTTCACACTTCATCCTGTGTTACCTTCAAAGGGATAAGTCAAAAGTGCTTGCAACACTATTAGTGTTCAACTACAGTGCCTGTCATTCAGATGCATTCTCCAAATTCAGAGAAAATCAGGATAAAAGTATCAGTCCTCACCAATGTACTTATAAGCTTTGCCAAGCTTAACCAAATGTGCAAGGGATTGCTCCACGATGCTTGCAGTCCACTGGTTGATGTTGTCTTGATTGTAGTCCTCACCTCCTAAAACTCCATCAACACACTAGGAGAAAGGGCAGCTCCATTAGTCCAAATGAACCAGTTTTTACATATACTGCAAATGAAATTCAAGGCACCACCCACTAAGGCATAGCAGAAAACGTGCATCTACTAAATGTTTGGTGTGCACTGTCTCTAACTGCTTAAGAGTTTTCAAAGCACTTCCATAAGCCTTATCTCATGCTATGAAATATTACAGGTCATATAAAGATCAATTTGCCAATGCCTCTGTAGTAAAACGCTTAATCTAGCAGGAACACTAATAAAAGAACTCTAATGTTTATAACATAGGAAAGACAAACCATAAACAGTAAGTGATAAAAATGACTACAGGATTAAGATAGTATTTACTGGTTAAAATGGCTTTGAAACAGATCAGATTAAAACTAGGGTTCATGTGCTCAAAACAAAGGATAGGACTAATTTAAAAACATAATTCTATGGATGCTAATTATAATCTCATTCATGCTATATAATTGCTTAGCTACAAAACAACCAATACACATGCCAGTGAAAATAAATAAAGATACTCTAGGAAAAAAAGCTGAATAATATCCTACAGTGTTTACTTGCATCCACTTTTGACACCTGATTAAGAGCAATGGTGAGTTCGAGGCCAGCCTGGTCTACAGGGAATTCCAGGACAGCCAGGGCTACACAGACAAACCCTGTCTCAAACAACCAAAAACATCAAACAAACAAACACCCAACAATGGATTTAGTATCTCAGTCCTGGGCTAGAAGGCCAGATTCGTAAATGTCTGCTATGGAACCTTTAGCAAATGACCTACCAACTTTAAGCCATTGTTTCCCAGATTGTGGGGAGAGAGGCAAGCCCTGAGTGAATGAAATCCTGAGTGAATGTGTGCTTGTGCTTCTGACAGGGGCACAGCCATGTCAAGGGACCCGATAGCCTCAGACCCATGAGACAATGGCAAAGCCTCCCCCACCCCCAAGTGCAGAAGGATGGTAAAGCCTTCATCTGGTCCACATGCAGATGTTGATAGTGTGCAGAATGTGCAGAAAATGTCCACAATAGCTTTCTCCCCCAGATGTCTACAGCCTGAAGATTGCTCCCCATGGAGACTTTTCCTCCTTGTGCCTCCCTGTCTGTAGGTAATAACCCTGCCTCCTTGTTCAACTCTATATAATAAAGAAGCTGAGTTTCCTGGGTGCTGAGGTTTCTCCATCGGGAAGCCCACGCCGCCTGGTCCCAGATTGTCTGCCCATGTGTCTGTGTACGTGTGTGTTATCTTTTCTTCATTCCTTTACTGCCCCCAAGCAAGTCAAGTCCCTGGAGCTGCGCAAGGACATGGCAACTGATTCTTACAGGAAAGAAAACAGTGTCATCTTCTCAGATGATGAAGGGTGAAATGAGATAATGAGTTCTCAGTCACAGTGACTGGCATAGAATGAGCCCATAGATAACTATTATTATTACTCTTATTGTTGATTTATTTTATATTCAAGTGATAGATCCTGGAAAATAGACATTCAGTTTGGTTTCAGAATCTAGATCAGAACACACAAATACGAATGTGTCTTCACTGACTACAATTGGGTTATAGTAAAGATTTATAAGGAGGCTCATTAAGACAGAATATTTAGCTGGGTATTATAAAATCTTTACTAATAATATGTAAAAATATAGCTTATATAATTTAAAGGGGCTAATGGAAATAAAGTGAGCCAAATTACTATTGAAATTTCAATAACATGGCAGAGGAGAGGAAGTACCCTAAGGGGCTGGAGAACTTAGTTTTGATTCTGCCTTTACTATTATAAGCTGATGACCTTGGGAAAAGCCTTTTCCACTATCCACATGGCCTTTTCTTAATGGGAAAGTAAGAGCACAGCTTGCTTTATCTGCGTTGTTGCTGTTTTAGGTCATTTAATAGTACCACTTGACGTTCTGCTTCAAACAACAGAAGATACTGGAAGGATGTCAACAGCCCTGCTTATTACTATTAATGAGTATTTAACCTGACTAATTACATCAACAATGAATCACACTACACAAAACAGAGCTTTAAAGAGCTCCGTGTTCTCCCAGGGCAAAGCTCAGGACCTAGGCACACAGTAGGTACTTAATCAATGTTTGTGGTTGAAGCAATTCTGACTTTTTATGTACTTTCTGAATGCTCCGAAATGAACACACTTTGTTTTGAGTTTATGTCATTTATAATGAAGTTTTTCTCTGAGGAATTTTTGGGCATGGGGGAAATTCGATCCCTCACTGAACAAAATGTCTCCTGGTACTAGTATATGAGTAGTCCTACAAGCACAGAAGGAAAAGCAAATTAGCCAGAGATGAAAAGATGGAGGAGAAGATGAGTATGAAATAAAAGAGAAATGACTATTGAAATTAGGGAGTTCTCTAGGGTGGCCCAAGATGTTTAAAGCAGTACTTGGACGTTTAAGCCTGTCCAGCCCCTCAGTAGAAATGTTTCAGTGACGTAGAAAGGTGACTCAGGAAACCAAGACAAAGGAGAACTGAGACATAGTCCCCAAAGCAACCTGGACTGACACTGAGATCTCGCCTAAGTATCGTCTTTTTATGTAAAGAATTCAAGTTCACTTGGTATCCGACTGTTTTCAATTAAACGGCTTATATTGCTAACCACATTCTCAGTAATGTTCATACTCTTAAAATGCATCTAGGAAGCTAGGTGTGGTGGTTTGGCCTGTAATACTAACACTTGAGAGTCTGAGGCAGGAGGATGACAACCTGGAGGCCATCCTGACTATATAACAACATTTTATCTAAAAAAAAAAAAAAGACATAAAATGCATCTAGTAGTTTTTAGTACCACTTAATCACACACACACACACACACACACACACACACACACACACACACACACACACACACACACACACCTAACATTTTTGATCTCTTACTCCATCCACCATTCCTTCCTATGGAGATGGAGTAAGTGACCTGGCTGGTGAATGATCAGCATTGTTCTACCACACTCATTAGAGAAAAGCACATTCTCAAGCATCTTGGACTTGGGTTTTCATTTCTCCACCCAGACCAAAGAGACACATTATCCTGTGTTTCTCTCTGCTGACTCAAACTTTCCCCTGTGTGCTGGAAAAGCCAGTATTGCAAGTTCAGAACTGAGCAGGGGCTAGTAAAACAGGATCCGGTCATCAGCCTCGTTCCATCTACAATAAAGGTGGTGTTTATTCTTCCAAGTGAACACTTGCGTCTTTTCATATGGTTCAAAACTCGGGTAAGGAAAATATATTACGTGGCTCTTCCAAAGACCCAGCATCTTTTATTTCATATCTACTAGCCAAAGACAGTCTCTCTTGACATTTTACTTTGAAAAATAAGATCATTGCTACCTCTGCCTTCCAATTGCTCTTCCTTGTGCTCTGGCATTGTGAGGGTATTGAAAACATTTGCTTTTTTTTTTTTTTTTGGTTTTTTGAGACAGGGTTTCTCTGTGTAGCTAGCTTTGCACCTTTCCTGGATCAGGAAACCAGGCTGGCCTCGAACTCACAAAGATCCACCTGCCTCTGCAGCTGGCTTCATTTTAATGAAATAGTCCTAAAAATGTCTTTACATGTTATACTCTGAATATTTTAAATCATTAAATATTCTAACACATAATTCTTCAACCATTAAAATGCCACAATGTTTTTGGTACTGCCTAACCCTATGAGAAGCTCAGCGGACTCTTCTTATACAGGGCCAGACAAGCTGAGCTTTGGATAAGATGACTTGCACTCAGGCAAGTCAAGAACTGTCTCCAGGTGAACTGGAGATGCTCAGAAGCTGGAGCCGATCCAGCCCAGAAAGAACTCAGTCAGGGCTTGCTAGGACACAGGCCCCAGGTGCCACACCCAAAACTGAAGCAAGTCTTGTGGGCCAGCTCAGGGTTTTTACCAACCTCACCTCAGGGTAGTTTATATTAATAGCCTCACCCCCAGGGCCTTACTCCCAGGGTAGTCTGTATTGATAACCTCACCCCCAGGGTAGTTAGTCTATATTGATAACCTCACCCCTAGAATAGTCTATATTAATAATCTCACCCCCTAGGTAGTCTATATTAATAACCTCACCCCTAGAATAGTCTATATTAATAATCTCACCCCCTAGGGTAGTCTATATTGATAGCTTAACCCCCAAGGTATTCTATATTGATAACCTCAGGATAGTATATTGATAGCCTCACCCCAAGGTATTCTATATTGATAACCTCAGGATAGTCTATATTGATAGCCTCACCCCAATGTATTCTATATTGATAGCCTCACCCCCAGCATAGTCCATATTGATAGCCTCACTCCTAGAGTAGTCTAGATTAATAACCTAACCCCCAAGGTAGTCTATATTGGTAACCCTAGGGTAGTCTATATTGATAGCCTCACCCACAGGTAATCTACATTGATAACACTAGAATCAGCTAAAACTGATTCCGAAAAAGAGCTTCTGCACTTTTTGTAGACTTGAAACAGTGCTTCAGTGTGTCTTTCAGAAAAAGTCCAAATAGGCCTCACTGAATGCAAGAGATCACATACACACCCCTGCAAAGAGTGAATAAATATTTTAAACCTTGGTGTTTTAGCATTAACATTTCTAACTTGGGCCTGAAAAATCAAAACCTGGATTTAAAATTTGTCTATCAACACAACAAGCATAGAGATAACAGCAAACAGAACTCACCTCTTTGACTATATTTTGGGCTTCATCAGCATTGAAGGCAATCTACAGAGAAAACAAGATACAACTGCTTTCAGCAAGGCTTCCCTTGTTTATACATAGGGCAATATACAGGATACCCTCAGCTGGCCTAAGAAAGTGATGTGACAGAAGACCATAGAGCTAGGGGCATCAGGTCTCCTGAGGATGCTGATCCTACTCCCTGTAGATTCAGATCCATTAGGATTGGGCAGGGCCTAGGCAAATACCAGTTTGAAAAGTGCTTATACAATAGTGGTTCTAATGAACATTCTAGATAATCATTGTATTATAAAGATCAAGAAATTAGCAGGTAGTAGCTATAAATGATGTCTATTGTGTGCTAGCAGTATACAGGAAATCATTTTAGCTAGATAAAGTGGCCCATAAAAAAGTATGCTAAATTGTCATTTCCAATTTTGGAATTTATATTTTGTTTTGAATTGATGAGACAAATCGAAGCTTTCCCAAATTAAAGATTATGGCAATACTCGGTCATTCAAAATTAATGTCACTTTAATTGTATAAATTGGTCTCTCACTTTTTTTTGGAATAGTTTGTTACAAACTTGAGTTAACAGAGATTTTCAATGACATCTAAGTGTCCTTGAGTGTAGAACTAGATTATCTGATAAAACTGAAATATAAGCCAGGATGATTTAGGTAATATAAGAATGCTTTCCATGGAGATATTTTGGGTGCATTGAGAAAGTGGTACTTTTGTGTTTTAAAACCACTATGCAACTTAAAACTACTTGAAATCAGTAAATTCTGAAGTTATTTTTAAGTATAGATTTTTATATTTTAATTCTATTAATTATCCTATAAAATTACCCACATCCCCCTAAAAGAGGAATGAAAATCTAAATACTTGGAGGCATTTTGAAAAGAGGTCGCATATTTAAGCCCCATGATAAATTGTCATTTTGTTTCAAAATCACATTCAAAATTGACCTAAGAAATAAATGATGCACATTTCACTACAATTTGGGAAGTTACCTAATACTATGGATGTTTAGTTGGCCACGGTAACACAAATAATGTCTGTTAGTTCTCCATCTTTCTTTTCTGATCCTGGGGATGGAATTCAGGGCCTCTAATGTGCTACTCAACCACTCTACCAATAAGCTACTTCTCCACTCCTATTTCTTTTTAAATTACAGGTATTTAGGAAGTGGTGCAGAAAAGATTTCCTTGCACCCTTGCTAGAGGGAAAATATGGGGAAGAGTCAACCATGTAATTTGCGGGGCTGGGTGGGGGGCAAGTCCTTGTTTCTAACCTTAGTATGATTTACCACTGACCTACAAGTATGCATGCTCTCTGCAGCACATAATCTTCTGCAGAAACTCATACTCTAAAACGTCCCATTGGGCCAGAAGAAGCCCCTTACAAGGATCATGTGACATTGCACCTCCACCATCTCATCTTTCATTTTCTTGTATCACTCACCAGTGGCTACCATTGGACAGAAAATGTCTATTTACTCTGTCTTTGCAAACTCGTACAGGCTGTGCGGCGATTCAACAGTACTGGGAACATGGGCTGAAGTGTAAATTCAGAGGCCTGGGTTCAAATGGAACACCTGTCATTCCTAGCAGTTTTAATTTGGGGCCTGTCACTTGGTCACTATGAAAAGTCAGAGTTCCCATCAGTAACAGGAAAAAAACCAACATCATGGAGTTCTGGGGAGGCTTTGGGAAACCTGAATCAGTAAGCAAGGGCTCTTAATCCATAAAGCACTTCCTCTAGCAGTCCCTGCGGAGAGTTCCCAGGACCAGAGCCACCTTGCAGCACCAGCTCAAGGAGACCCAAAAGGGTGGAGAAACAGAGTGAAAACCGGTTTCCCAGGCCCAGATCGCAGACGGGCGGGGCTCGCCAACACCCGCCCATACACCCCAAGTTAGGCCTCCCCCTACACCCACTGGGTCCTCTCAGACCCTACCGACTGTCCCCAAGAGCTTTCTGTCACCTAAACCATCCCGAGGATTGGCCCACCCTCAGGCTCTCAGGGACGGCGAGACAGAGACGCCAAAGGGCAAGAAGGATCCCGGCCCCGCGGAGCAGACTCAGGTTCACGGGACTCCGCATCCTAACCCCCAAGCACTAAGAGACCACCCGACAGCGTGCCGACAGCGGGGACCGAGGGGCACTTCTCGGCGCCAGAGGGGCGGTACCTCGTCGCAGGGCCTTTGGTACTCCTCCATGGTGGCTTTGGCAGTCCCAGGGGGCGGAGCAAAGCGACGGTCGGACTCCGCAACCACGCACTGGCCTCCGGGGAGGCCCCGCCTCTCCTTCTGGCCCAGGGCTTTTGTTTACGTAGGCCCCGCCTTTGTGTCGCACTGAAGCAAACTTCCAGGGACCAGACGAGGGGGGCGGGGGCGGGGATCAAAGGACAGGGAGGGGGCGCTCTGGTTGAGTTGAGCCGCTTAGCAAGGCTAAGGGTACCTCCTAGGCCTGGAGTGCGCTTCCGACCAGGCCTGTCTTCTGAAAGTAAAGGATGCATGTTAAGAGCTCGACCAGTGTCCGTGAGGATTAGTTAGGATGACCTTGTGTCAGCCAGTCTAGACTCAGCACAAGTGGTTTAGGGCTCACTGCTGTGGTCATATGCACAGAATTCATTCATCCACAGTTATCCAGCAAATGAGTGTAGCAAGTGAGCAAGCAATTTTGATTTCTCTGTGTACTAGTTACTGATTTTAAAAAAAAATAGCCGCCCCCCGATTCGATTTCTCATATGATAAACATAATCACTTCTATTTTGTGACTAGTTATAATGATCAAATAAGATACTATACACACAACTCCTAAAGTTGATGCTCCTGTTCTGTTGACTTTTTTTTAAAAAAAAATAAAGAAATATAAGACTTTTGAGAAAGGAGCAAGTGCCCTAAATTGAATTATAAACCTTAGCAGAAGCACTCTGTTTACATTTATTTTAGGACTACTAAACTGTGGCTGATTCTGGGATTTTCCTCAAATTCTCAGTAATTCAGATTTGCCCTCCCCTTATCTCCTTATTAAAGATGCAGCTAAAATGCAGAGATTTTCAGTGACTTGCCCAAGGCCTTATATACAGTATGTGTTAGACGAGGTCTATCAACTCGAATGTTCCAGTCTGATAGCAAAGCTCCAGTTCTTCAACACTGTTGTGAGCTTCCTGTTGCTGCTGTAATGAATTACCACACAGAGAGTGGTTTAAAGCCACACACACATCGTTTCACAGTTTGAGAGGTAGAAGTTCTAACCACATCCACAAAATGCTTTTTGCCATGCATGCTAGCACATTCTCAGGTTCTGGGATACAAATGTGGCTATATTTTCATGGGGAGGAGTATTCAGCCCACTACAGTGACTTCTATTTTGTTCTCCAGTATCAAGTCAGAAGGCTCATTAGTTTTCTCATTCTTTCTCTTATTTTTGTTTTAATGGTTCTCTATGTTATGGCTCAAGCAGGAGTACTGCAAAAAAAAAAAATGTAATTGGGGCTGGAGAGATGATTCAGCAGTTAAGGGACCTGAGTTTGGTTCCCAGTATCCATGTGGTGGCTCATGGCTGTCTGTACACTCCAGTTCTAGGAAATATAGCACCATTTTCTGACCTCTTCAAGCATTAGGAACTTACATGGTACACATACATACATTCAAGCAAACACCTCATACACCCAATAAGCAGCTTCAACAGTTTCTCATGAAATAATTTTGAGAACATACTTTAAAAATCATTGTAATTTTATTAGTATGCACCTTTGGCTACAAGTAACAGAAGACCCAGTAGGAGGAATTGAAGTAATGATGTTCATGTTTTGTTGTATAACCAGGAATACAAAAGTAAAACTGTTCCCGATTAATGTAGTTGCTCAAAAGCTTTTGTACGATCTTTGTGCTTTCCATCTTCATACACTATTGTCTTCAGAACATCAGCAACATGTTTCTTTCTAATCCCCAGGAATCCTTGCATTAGGCCCAGTTGGCCAGGATTTAGCCATGTGATTCTCCCTGTTCTGCTGGAAGCAGTGGAGCTCTGCCTCAGCACCCCTCTCCACTCCAAACCTCACCCCTCTCAGAAAGCCCACCAAGGGGTGGGGCCTCCCCCAAGAGCTGCTCAAGACCATGCCTACACGGTATTTAAGCTCTGCCATGGAGCTGCCACATGATTTCTCTCCCTCCCTTATGCCCCCCCCCCCGCAAGATCACCCCAGAGTGCTTTGCTCAGATTAAACCTGTTTTTTTTACTTTTAATTTGGCTTGATTTGGCTTACTACATTGGCAAAGAAACCTAGTGCCAGGGATTCAAAATGCTCATCACTCCCTTTTACAGAACAGACAGGAAAAGCTGTGGTTAGTGTTTTATTTTATTGTGAAAGTTAATTCTGCTATCAAAAATGGATGTGGGCATAACTTCATTTAAACTATGCATATGTGTACGTGTGTTTCCAAAAACCCTAGGGAAACATATTATAAGATTTCTTAAAAATACATGTGTGTGCACCTTTATAGGGTTTATCCTTAAAATTATTTATATGGTTGTAAAGAAAAAATAAAGTTAAAATAAATTTGTAAAATACTTCAAATAAAAACTTTTAAATGTTTTATTGAAACCCTGGATTTTGCTTTTCTAAACATATTTTAAATATGGTTTTAGTCTATAAATAGTTATAAACAATTCTTGCTCAAGTAGTTTTTATTTGTTTGCTTCTTTTTTAAAACAAGGTCTCATTTATGAAACCCTGGCTGGACTAGAACTCACAATCCTCCTGTCTCAGCTTCCATGGTCCTAGGATCATTGATATATAACACATTCTAGCAATGCTTAAATAGTTATTTTAGCCTAAATATTGTTCTTGTTTACATTTTGTTGGGGTGCTTTGATACAGAATCTCTGTGTAGCCCAGGCTGGCTTGGAACTCGTCTTCTCTTGATTGAGCTTCCTGAGGAGTGGGATTACAAGTATGTCTCAAAGAAAAAAAGACTTATTGTTGGGAAATCTTCCTCATAGGAAGATCTACTTAATAAAACAATTCAACTCACTTTCTAAATGATTCAAATTCTAATGTTGAATTAAGGAATATGCATTAGCTTTTTCACTGATGATTTTGACTGGGCAAAATGTAATGAAGAATGCGGAAGGCAATTAGAGATTTCAAATGACAAAACCCTGGAAAAAGAAGAGAGAGCATGACATTTGAACTTAGTTTTCAGCTGGTATTGAGAAGATGCCACGGGCCAAGACATAAGATAATCAGATTCTGTGGCATGCCAAGGAGGGAAATTCTGGTAAGAAATCATACTTTGGGTTGAAAGAGACCTTCAAGATTCCAAGCTAGGAATAAAACATCAGGGCTTGACTGTGAAGCTACACAGCTTGGTTTGAAATCCTCTCTGCCCCTGTAGTTGGATTAAGGTGCTCTGATTTTGCTAATGCCTCTAGGCAGCTGCAACAAAACAAAACAATTCTTTCTGGACGATAGAAATATCATTATAGGCTACAAAGTAGATTTATATTTTTTCACATACATTAAGTGCAAAATGAAACGTAAGTAGGTACATAAAGAAACAAAACCACATTATCATAACCAGCAGACAATGGAAACAGCCTGTTAAGGATCTAGTTGTCAAGACTTTAAAATAACTGTTTACCACATTCAAAGATATAAAAGACAAGATGGAGTATTTTATTCAACAACTGGAAACTACTTTAAAAATCCAAATTGAATTTCTAGAAGTAAAACTCCAGTGGCAACACACAAAAAAAACTTAGGGAAGTCTTCTCTCGTAGTTGAGACAAGGCTGGAGGTTTAACTAGCAATTCTTTGAGGGTTGGTCTAGGGGTTGGAGAGGCAGCTCAGAGGTTAAGAGCACTTGCTGCTCTTATAAAAGACCTGAGTTTAGTTTCCATCACCCACATGGTGTCTCATAAGCATCTGTAACTCCTGTTCCAGGGGTTCCAGTGCCTTCTTTTAAACTCCGTGGGCATCAGGCACTCAAGTAGTGCATATGTATACAGTCAGGCCAAATCCTCATACACATAAAATACATCTTAAAAAGTTGGCCAAAGCTAGGTGTGGCGTGCACATTTAATCTCAGCACTTAGGAGGCAGAGGCAGGCATATTTCTGAGTGTGAGGCCTGTTTGGTCTACCTATGGCAAATTCCATGCCAGCCATAGCTACATAGAGAGGCCTTGTCTCAAAATTAACTAATTAAAAATTAGTCTAAAAATATCTCAGAACTGAGAAGGGGAGTGGACACAAAGTCCCACCCTAACCAAGAAGCTAAGTTATTTGCAATTGACACTTGCTGGGAAAGGGAAAATCAGTTTTCTCCAATGAGGTGTCACTGGACAGGCCAGATGCCCAGGAGTAGTTGGTCAACACAAAGAGATTTTGTGCTTGTGTGCTTTATGTTTTTGTTTTATTGGTTTATTTTATTTAAAAAAATATTCATTTTACATACCAATGACAGGTCTCCCTCTCATCCCTCCTCCCACTCCCCCCCAGCCTTTCCCCCACTCCTTGCCCAGCCCTCATCCCCTCCTCCAAAAGGGTAAGGCCTCCCATGGGGAGTCAGCAAAGCCTGGTACATTCAGTTGAGGCAGGACCAAGCCCCTCCCCACTGCATCAAGGCTGAGCTAGATGTCCCACCACAGGGAATGGGATCCAGAAAGCTAGCTCATGCACCAGGGACAAATCCTGATCCTATTGCCAGGGGACCCTCAAACAGACCAAGTTACACAATCTACCATATGCAGAGGGCCTAGGCTGGTCCCACACAGGCTCCACAGCTGTTGGTTTAAAGTTTGTGAGTTCCTACAAGCTTGGTTCAGTTGTCTCTGTAGGTTTCCCCATAGTGATCTTGATCCCCCTTGTTCATATAATTCCTCTTCTCTCTCTTCAATTGGACTCCAGGAGTTCAGCCTGGTGCTGGCTCTGTGGCTTTCCCTATGATCTTGATCCCTCTGGCTCCTACAATCCTTCCTCCCTCTTTTCAACAGGACTCCCGGGACTTGGCCCGGTGCTTGGCTGTGGATCTCTGCATCTGCTTCCATCAGTTACTGGATGAAGGCTCTATGATGACAGTTAGGGTATTCACCAATCTGATTACTGGGTTAAGTCAGTTCAGGCACCCTCTCCACTATTGCTAGTAGTCTGATTTTTTTTTTTTTAGTTTGCTTGTTTTGATTTTCAATTATGGTTAGAGAGAAAGAGAGAGAGAGAAAGGGAGAGAGAGAAAGGGAGAGAATATGTAGTTAATTGGAAAGGGGAGTGAGGAAGATCTGTGAGGAGTTGGGGAAATGAGAAAGAGTCTGACCAAAATATATTGTATG